TTTCACCATCGACTAAAAAACCCATGAAAATCTACTTTATACCTACTTTAAATCACCTAGCCACAATCATTTTTAAAAATTTTCATAAAATGAAAAGAAAATTTTAAAAATCTCGCTAAAATAATAAAAATCTCGAAAAAATTCTCAAACAATCCTCTCCACCCTCTCCCTCTGCTTCCTCACCCCCATCATTTCAAAGACTCTAGGTGCTCGGCTACATCTTTCTTGCCAACTTTCACCAACGCCTCCTTCAAAACTTCCAGTTCACTCTTCGGCGGCGCGTCACCACTTCCTTCCGCGCTTGTGGCCGCTACAGGGGCAGCCGGTCTCGACTCTTTCCAAGCCCACAAAACTTTAAAAGCCCCCTGGTAAGTGGAGCCTTCTGATTCTTTGATTTCTTCGACCTCGTCCTCTGGGATGCCCAGTTCTTTGGCCAGAAGTTCGTAGTCGCCTTCAATTTTTTTGGCAATTAGGAGAAGTCTTCTGTTGTCGAGAACTGTGGCTGTAAATGTGTGTGTGTGTGTGTGTGTTATCGAGAACTGTGGCTGTAAGTGTGTGTGTGTGTGTGTGTGTATGTTTGTTTATATACATAGATATGTGTGTATGCATGTGCGTTGTTGCCGCTGCAATTGACAGCCTCGTCATATTGAACAACATCATCAATGTGAACCACATCACTTCATCATCCTCTACAGTCTTATTAACATCAATAACAACGAAATCCTCCTCATCACCATCATCATCGTGATCTTCATCACCATCATCATCATCATCAGCACTCACAACTTTTTGGCGCGGAGAGATCGGATTTCTTCCTTGCTATGCTGGATTTTGTGGGCTTGCTCTTTCCATCCGCTGAACCGTCATCTGTTGAAGTAAGCGAATGAATGAATGAATGAATGAATGAATGAATGAATGGATGAATGGATGAATGAATGGATGAATGAATGAATGAACGGATGAATGAATGAATGAATGAATTAATCAATAAATGAATGGATGAATGAACGAGTTAGTAAATAAACTAATGGCTGAATAAGCCAATGAATAAATTAACGAACGAATAAATGATCAAATGAACGAACGAACGAACGAACAAATAGATACAAGATATATACCCAATCACGCACTGGCCAGTAACATCCATGTATGCAACATTCCCACGAAACAATTAAGCAACAATTTCCAATGCGCAGATTCCACATCATTCATTTATATACAAACTAAGGACAACTACATAGGAAATACTCTGATTAATTGCACGCTCACGCACACACAAACACACACACAGACACGCACACACAAATACACACATATAAAACCATTAAACACACAAAATTTACAATGAGTTTTTTATTTTGATCGTTATTATCATTTAATTTAATATAGATAGATAACTGCTTAAATAGCAATTCTATATCAAAATAACCATAATAAAAACAACAACGACAACAACAACAAACAAACAACAACAACGACAACGACAACAAACAACAACAACAATAATAATCCAAATCGTCAACAGTACCATCAATAATTTGGACAACGACATCTGCTATGTCATCCATATTTTGGTTTCTCAGGACGTCAACCAATCGCATAAGGAGGAATGACTTCCCGGATAACTCCTTCCAAGCTGTCAAAGCCTTGTAACCTTGAATTATTGGCTGGTTCTGACTTATCTGTGTGTGCGTGCGTGTGTGTGTGTTTCTGTGTGTGTGGGTATGTCTGTGTGTGTTTATGCAAGGTTTATAATCCTGAGTGGCTGGTTCAGACTTATCTGTAAGTGTGTATGCGCGCGAGTGTGTGATGTTTACAGTTGTTGTTAGTGTTTGTTGTGACAATCAAAAAACGATTTTAAAAAAAAAGTCCGTAAAAATTTAGTACTTAGTAAGCAAATAAAATTTCCAACTTTTCCTAATTCCATTTCGAGAATTTCTTTAGGAAAGGGTGACATGAGTTCCTCAAAGACTGGCCTCCAATCGCAACCCAGACCTCTCGAAACTTCTCGAAAGATTTTATTCGTTCTCATGGTTTCCATCGGGTCTTCCCATAACTAAAAAAGGAAAGAAAAGGCGTAACAAATAGTATATCACTCTTTCTTTCTTAAAAAAAAGTGGAATTTTGGAATTACAATATCATACTTACACACAGTGTACGCACAAACACACACAAACAGAAACAAAGGAATACAAACAAATACAGACGCAAACGCACATACCTTGTTAGAAGTTTGTTGTTTTGAAGCTGAAAACCTCTCGTCAAACCCCCTCCTAAACTGTTCCTCTATATATGCCAGGTGAGTATCAAGCTGTGGTTGTTGAAGTGCCGCCAGGTCCGAATTCAAATCCAGATCGCCTAACTCAATTGGCACGTCGTCTTCTCCGTGATTACCCAATTCATCCTCTACTGGTTCTGTAGTAGTAGCAGCAGCAGCATCAGCGTTTTTATCATCGTGACAATCGCCACCATTTTCGGTTTTTTTTTGGTTCGCCGTGAGTTTTGTTGGCGTGCTGTCTTCTTGTATGTTGTTGTCGTTGTTTGTTGTTGTCGGTGTTGTATCTTTTTTAGATTGGATATCAGACATTATTGATAGATGTTTCTTGATAATATATCAGCTCTTGTGACTCTGTGGGATTATTATATGATTGGAGAAGTTTGCTATACACAAAATTACCATGAATCATTTCGAATAATAATAACAATGATAATAATACAAATACAACTGCTACTAACAATAATGATAATACTAAATAAAATTTAATTAAATCAAGTCAAAATTCCAATGCAATTATTGCAGAACAAAGAGATGATTGTCTGAAACACATTACCCATCACTTCATATTACATACAATCATTTAGTCAGATAAATTATCTCACATCAGATATATGAAAAAGCCAGAGAGAGAGAGAGAGAGAGAGAGAGAGAGAGAGAGAGAGAGAGAGAGAGAGAGAAAGAGAGAGAGAGAGAGAGAGAGGGAGGGAGAGAGAGAGAGAGAGAGAGAGAAAGAACTGATACATTTATAAAGTAAAAAACAAAAGAAACATTACATTTATTTACCTGTGACAATTTTTTCTAAAAAGATTAACTTCTCTTTCAAAACAGAGAACTTTACTTTTAAACTTAACTAAACCGATAGACAAGAAGTTACTAAGTAATATACAGCAGGTATGATATTGAACTATCCGATCTACACACACGCATGTTATTGTACATATATATATATATACATATATATATATATGTTGGTAATAGATATATATATATATATATATATATATATATATATATATATATATACAGATAGAGAAAATTCTAAATATTCAATTATTAATCCTCACATTTGATGCGTGGATATATATATATATATTTATTTATTTATATATATATATAAACCAACACACTCGCGCACGGATACACACACACAAACAAACACACACATAAATGTATATATATATATATATTATATTCACATAAATAAGACACATATAATATGCATAGCCAATTGGTTTAGTTCAGTGCACACATAATCACCTATAATAAGAATAAAAATACTATATATATATATATATATAATAATAATAAAAATACTATATATATATATATATAATAATAAAAATACTATATATATATATAACATTGTTATTATTAATTTTTGTATGTATATATGTATGTATGCATATGCTTATCAATAACATTATTAACATTATCATCATCTTTTTCATCTTCCTTACCATCGCTATAATCACCATGGCCGTCGTCATCATCATAACTACATCAGAGCAACATTGTATTAAACATCTGGCGTTTGTATATACATACTTACATGGCATACATACATAAATACATGTATGTATGTATGTATGTATTTATGTATGTATGTATGTATGTATGTATGTATGTATGTATGTATGTATGTATGTATGTATGTATGTATGTGTGTATGTATGTATGTATGTATGTATGTATGTATGTATATTTGTATATTTCCAAGATAAGAGGCAATAAATATACTGGGATACATCATATGTAGCTTAAAGTTCAGCAACTAAGATATACCAGTATGTATGTATGTATGTATTCTCTTTCTCTCTCTTCTCTCTCTCTTTCTATATATATATATATATATAGAGTTACAAATCCTATGTAAATATAGTTGCAAATAAACTGTACAACTAATATATAAGCTTGTATATAATAGCAAACGTGTGTGTGTGTGTGTGTGTGTGTGCGTGGTGTATATATATATATATATACATATCGGATGTAGGTTTTTATAAGTAATATTTATAGTATTAGTTGCATAGGCCAGTGGACAAGTATTTCTATAGTTAGTGTGTATACACTAACAACACTAATAACAGTGTAAACAGTAGTAATGTTTGCTACACTACATGCATGAGTATTTCTAATGAATGGTCACATTCATTGATTCATTGAATGGAATGCTTATTCATCCTGTAATGCGGATAAATGTTAGGAGTTAAGGGCTATTTTATGATGGATGAATACATATAAATACATACAAACATAACAGCAAAAGTACATACATACAAACATACATACATACATACAAACAAACAAACATACACACACACACATCAATAATATGCATATTTTACACATGACTCTTCTTGAAATACACCTATCTTAACTATTAATTCTCATTTGGAATGTGGCAAATGAACTGAATACACACGGAAACAACTAATTTAAATAAAATACATATATATATATTTACATATATATATAATCTCTTATAGGTTGATGAAAATTATTAATTAATGAAAAAAACCATTGCCTGCGTAAGCTGAAAGTAAAGTAACTCTAGTAACTCTAAAACAACCATCCTACCTTCTTATTATTATGTTGTATCATATTGAGGAAACTAACTACATTATTAATAACAATCAATCTTCATTTAGCATCCAGAGACCCAGTTTCTCAAGGTAGGACGTATTAATAACAACAACTGATAATAATTGGATTAATATTAGAGAAGACAATAGAGTAGTAGACCAATACAAAAATTAAACTCTCTACATTTGTATTCACAATTTAGTGAAGTTTTAGCTAATAACTTACTAAGTATAGTTAGGATAGGTTAATAAGTACTTAAGCAGGCATTTCAACAAGCTAATACTTAGTAATAGCTAGGCTATACTTTTTAATAATTTAATTTCATTCAATATTGGTATTTGTAATGTAAGGAAACTACTAATTTTTCTCTCTTACTAACTAACGAAAACTAAACTAAAGCTATTTAAAAAAAAGAGGTATGGCCGCCAAAACTACCTACCTACTAACTGTACTGCACTGTAAGTAACTTAACACACTATGACAGGACTTATATATAGTATAAAAGTATAGAATTATGTCTTAATGACAAGTCTTACTTAAAACAATACATTTTTTATGGATTATCAATTATAGATTATAATTATTATACAAATTCAATTGACAATGCAAGGACAATATGTAAGGTCAAATGATATGAAAAAAAAACAACAAATATATGTTAAATCGTTTAATTGCACTAAAAACGCCAAAATAGAACTCTAAAATAAGGAATTTATTGAAAAAATACATCACTTTTGCAAAAAAAAATCGCAGAGACCACTGACAGCAGAAGTTCTCTTTTAATCGTTAAATGTCCGCATAGATAGTGTAAGGTGATTATGTATTTTACACGTATCTATGTATAAATTTACTACTTAGATATTTATATTTATTATATAAAATTCATTCTATATATTTGTATGTGCAATTCACAAACTCAATATATATGTGTGCTGTGTATGAATGAATATATATATTGGTACGTATATATATACGTACGTATTTATAATTTTTATTTGTAGTTTTTTCTCATTTTTTAATCAATATTCTTCTTACTTTCTTGTGCCTTATCCTTTCAGGACATTGGCGACCATTGATCTACACAAAACCCGAGCTTTAACACTTTGTAGTAGTTGGAATGCGGTTATATTCAACAAGTGACACAAGGACATCACGAATGCTATTAGTTGTTGACCGCGATTTCTTCTCCCTGCAATCTTTCCAGTAGTTGTTAGATTTTCCATTCTTTCCTTCCGCATGATGTGACCAAAAAACTTTAACTGCCCCCGTCAGATTATCTGTAGTAATTTCATCTTTTCATAACCGTCCTCTTTTCATAACCGGACCACATTCTCATTCGAAATATGAGAGGTCCAACTAATTTTTATAACTCTTCTCAAAAACTACATCTCAGCAGCCCGCGTTAATCATTTTTCTCCATTTCTTAAAAATTTTAATTATACCAATATATAACAGAAAATTTGAAAGAAACCGAATATTTGACAATTTATGTACAATGTTTTAAAATATAAGGTAAATAAAATACGTTTCAAAATTGAAAAATAATATAATTAAATATAATTATAAATTATGATATAAATACTATACAGTAAAATATAAATTAATTCATTCGATTAAAGTTTTCATTTTTTCAAATTGATCACTGCTTCTTCCCAAGGTCCATGTATGTTACTGGAACAGACAAATTAGATATTGTATTAAACAAAATATAATTAAAACCATAATTAATTATATATAAATTTAATTGTAATAAAACAATTGTAATAAAATAATTAAATTATATATATATGAAAAAAAAATTGAAAGAAAATTTAAAAAGATTACTTCTTATAACTCTGCATGTGGACAAAGAGGGCAGGGCATAGAAATGTGATGAAGATATGAAGCAATAGATATTGTATGGACGCGATGTAGGATATAGAAGCAACACCAATGAAACTTAATAAACTCGTTAGGACGGTCATACAAACGAATGCTCTGTCTTTGGTGTTTTTCTGTTTTAATTTAATATGGCAGAGTGCTATAATCATTTATTTCTTTCAAAGTGGTTTTTTAAACTTTTTTTAAATAATTTATTTATTCATTTATTAGATGTATAATCCACTATCTAGAATAAAATCCAACTCCAACAACAAAGAAACACAAAAACAAAAAACCTTGAATATAGTTCGAAAAGACGGCCAAAGGGCGAACATTTGTAACGCAAAAGTTAGCATAGAAAAGGTGTGCCAGGCTGTGGAGAGTCTCGAAGCCAAACAAACTGAAGCAAAGATGGCTGAATTCAAAGATATCGATCTGGAAACTCTGTAAAAAAAAGAACAAATCATAAAAATAATACAATAATATATTAATAATAATAAAATAATATATTTAAAATAATAAAACTGATAAAACAATATATTGAAAATTGTGAAAAAATATAAGAAAATTATGATTGTGATGTAAAAAAAATATTGTGATTGGCGAAATCTAATACAATATACATTACAATATACAGTTGTACGTACATACACTGAGGAACTTACAAGCACATACAAATACATACACATATTTCTTAGATTGATTGAACGAACGAACGAACGAATAAAGAATGAAAGATGAATAGACAAATGAATGTATGCTCGATTCATGTTGCAACAAAAGTGATAAAAAAAAACTAACATGACAGATTTTGTACCGTAGTCATGGAACATCAAGTTACAGAGGAACATGAAGAAAGTCATGGCGTATATGGTATCTGTACTGATTGACTGAGTCAGTGTCATTAAGATTGGAGACAAGAAGAAACAGAAACCGAGCGATATGACTGAAATTCGCAGGTCGTGGTAGTAATCTGGAATTATCAATTGATTGGGTGAGTGAACAAATAAATGAATGATCAAATGAATGAATGATCAAATGAATGATCAAATGAATGAATGAATGAATAAATGAATGAATGAATGGATGGAGTGAATTAATGACTTATTGACTGATATACTATGCTAGTGGTAGTACTCTTGAATTAACAATTGACGTTTGAAAAAAAAAAAGAAGAATGAATGAGTGAGTGAATGACAGATTTATTGAACCAGTGGATGAATAAAATAAATAAATAATTGATGGATGGACTGAATAAATTCAATATTTAATGACAATCATTAATGAATAATTAATTAATATTTAATAACTATTTTTCAGGCCGTCGTTGAAATAGATGCATTTGAGTGCATAGCCCAAAATATTTGTAACGAAGGAGATGCAGAATAAAATCTGTGGAGAAAGAAGCATGGAGTCCATGTATATGAATACTGTTATGAATATACATACACTGTTGAGGAGGTTGAAAGAAATTATTCATAATACAATATTAATTATAATCCATTATTATTATTATTAATTTAATATTATTAGTAATTCAATATTATTATATGTTAGATTATTATGTTAGTTAACTTAACTTGCTTAAAAAATTAAATAAAACACAACTAATATTGTTAAAAAAATTAAACTATTAATAATTAATTGTAAGTAAACTATAAAAACAATATTTACCTGCAAATTTGATGGGTTAGGACTCCAGATTCTTTTACTACAAACCAATAGTCATACGTTTTTGTATACACTAAAAATATATTAATAAACAATTAGATTAAAACACTTTTTAATAATTTAATATAATTAATTAATTTTAAAATTTAAATTAAAAATTCCCACTTAACAATTTTTCTTCAAATCCTTCATGAATGTAACGTCTACGTAATTGTCCGGAACACCCTGATCCAAATATAAAACCTTTTGCCATTCTTTAATTTCATTTTCCATCTTTCAAAAATTTTTTTTTATTTAAAAAATTTACGGCTTATAATTGTTGAATACTTTAATAAATTTTTAAAAGTGAATTCGACAATATTTTTACATTATGTAGGATTAGAATTACCGTTATACCATTGAATTTTCAACCGTGTATAGCGTTTACTTTACAAATTCTAATCTCACTAAGTGATATAACTTTTTGTCGAATTTACTTTTGATAACTAAATTTTTTAAATGTGAGCTAATTCTCACCTGGATTTTGCGTACCTGGAATAGTTGATTTTGTGCAAGTAGGTAGTTGAAAAACTGCCAAGTCGGTTGAAATTATGGATTTAATTAAATTGTCTATTAGAATATACAAGTATTTTTGAGATGCACACATAAATGGATTTTTGGCGATTTTTTAACTTTATCGTTACCGTTGGTATATTAATATATATAACGATTTTGATGAATAAAGTTAAAATGTTATAAATAACAAATAAGGAACAATTACAAATATTTTTTCATTTCATTAAACCGTTAAATATTTTTTATTTAATCGGTTTTTTCATAATCCGCCTTTTACAAATGCTTCAACCGTCGCGAACATTACCTTCGTATTTACGAGCAGTCAATTTCTAAAAATATTGCTCAGTAAAAATGAATAAATATATGGAAGGTAGATTAACGGATTTACATATGACAAATTTGAAAGAAAAAATGTCCGGAAAGTTACTGATTGTCGTTCTGAGTTTTCTGACAACTCTTATCATACCTTTTGTACACCTAGGTTAGAAAAACTGGTGAGGAAATTTCATTTTTAGCTAAATAAATTAAGATTTATTGGTCTATTTATAATATGCAATAATTTTACAAATTTCAAGGAGTATTTTACAATTTTTGGGCACAAAAACCCCTGGTTGATAAATTGAGATGTACATGTAATTGTTTCGACACTATCTTCAGAGGTATTTTTTAGTTTTTTAACGACGTTAAACTTTAACGCTCTTTCTCAAAATCAATCACTGTTTCAAAGATGTATTTTTAAAATATTATTTTCCTCAAATGTAATTTTTGACACCCACCAACCAACCAATTAGGAAACTATGAATGGCCTCCTAGCATGTATAAGCACGTGTACTTCAATACCAACCTGACGACATTCAAAATATGGATTATCAGCTGCTTGGGTGTCATAACTTGCTACGAAGCCACCAAAAAAATCCTGATGATCATCAAATCAAAATGCACCAGACTGCCCATGTTGGTTCTCCTTTTATCCAGTTTATATCCCCATTACTATGGCTGGTGGAATTTTTTTCAATATTTAAACGAAGAATTTTATGATCAGTGGTACCACCAGTTGTTCTTCACAGGCACAGAACTCCTATCTACAATCATGGTCTTCCATCTATGTGACAGTAGAAACAAGATAGAACCATGGAAACTATTGTTCATCTTCAGCTTAAACATCACTCACATCATCGTTTCTTCTCTTGACCAGTTCATTACAAATGTTTTCCTGGCCAGAGGGCAAAGTTTCGAGATATTTCGAGACATTGGTCTCATGTTACCTGATCTATTGCACGTATTTGTGGCATATTTTGAAATGAGTATTCTGTCCGATAGACACAATACTTCCATCATTAATTTGCTTCGTAGAGAGGAGGTGATGTTATCTCTGTTGGTTGTTATACTTTTCAGTGTTATAGGCAAGGCGTTGTGATAATGTTAAGCTAAGTAGAGTTTTTTTGTAAAAAATTGTTTCAATTTGTGGTAGTTTCATTCTTATATGGCGCATCATTATTTTATTTGTTCTGTTTCGCTAACAAAATTTTTAATTAAAAAAAAATGTCTTGAAATGTTTTGTTGTTTCATTTTTTGAAGAAATCTCTCTTAATGTCTTATCAAGTTGAAGTGTTGGATGTATTGTACAGTGCATGCGAGGGTGCGTGGATTGTGTATCACAACGATAAGATACTGTACCGTTATCTACCGCCATTTTTCAATTTCACTTTCCATCTTTTAAATATTTGTTTGAGTTAAAAAATTTTTAAAAACAGATTTACGGTTCATTTTTTTGTTGACGAAGTTCATTTTTTTCAAATTTCAATGAGGAAGTGGAATTGCCTAATCGGTTGAAATTAGGGATTGACGAGCGGTAAATTTTTAAAAATATTGCACAGTAAAGATGAATAAATGTATGGAAGGTAGATTAACTAATTTGCATATTGCGATTTTGAAAGAAAAAGTGTCCGGAAAGTTACTGATTGTCGTTCTGGGTTTTCTGGCAACTGTTATCATCCCTTTTGTACATCTGGGTTAGAGAAAATAGAGAGAAAACTTCATTTTAAACTAAATAAGTTGAGAATTATTGATCTATTTATGCTTTACTTTTACAACTTTCAAGGAGGATATTACAATTTTTGGATACAAAAACCGCTTGTTGACAAATCAAATTGTACTTGCAGTTGTTTCGACACTATCTTCAAAGGTACTTTTTCATTGAACGCTTTTCCCCAAAATCAATCACTGTTTCAAAGATTTATTTTTAAAATATTATTTTCCTCAAATGAAATTTTTGACTCCCACCAACCAACCAATCAGGAAGATATGAATGGCCTCCTAGCAGATACAAACACGTGTACTTCAATACCAACCTGACGACATTCAAAATATGGATAATCATCTGCTTGGGTGTCATAACCTGCTACGAAGTCACCAAAAAAATCCTGATGATCATCAAATCAAAATGCACCAGACTGCCCATGTTGGTTCTCCTTTTATCCAGTTTATATCCCCATTACTTTAGCTGGTGGAATTTTTTTCAATATTTAAACGAAGAATTTTATGATCAGTGGTACCACCAGTTGTTCTTCACAGGCACAGAACTCCTATCTACAATCATGGTCTTCCATCTATGTGACAGTAGAAACAAGATAGAACCATGGAAACTATTGTTCATCTTCAGCTTAAACATCACTCACATCATCGTTTCTTCTCTTGACCAGTTCATTACAAATGTTTTCCTGGCCAGAGGGCAAGTTTCCCAGATATTTCGAGACATTGCTCTCATGTCATCTGACCTGTTGCACGTATTTGTGGCATGTTTTCAGATGTGTATTCTGCCCGATTGGCATAACATGTCCATCATTAATTTGCTTCATAGAAAGGAGATGATGCTATCCCTGCTGGCTGTTTTACTTCTCAGTGTTCTAGCCAAGTCGTTGTGATGATGTTCAGTTGAGTGGGGATAGGTTTTTTTTGTGTAAGTTTCATCCTTGTTTGGCGTGCCATCATGTTAGTTGTCCTATTTCGATAAAAATTGTTTTAATTTAAAAAACTAAGTATTAAGCTTAAGTATTTTCTGGTATCATTTTTTGGGATGGTGTGGCGGCTAAAGCCGATACAGAAATCTTTCCATCCTATCAAGTTGAATTTACTTGTGTATGTGATGATTGTGTGCATTGTGTTTCACAACGATACCATACCGTACCGTTATTTTTCCATCGAAAAACTCCTCATCATTCCCGTACTATCACCACCTTCGCCATCATCATCGTCGTCGTCATCATCATCATCATCATTACCAACCTCAGAACTATCATCATGATCATCAAGTTAAAGTAATGACTGTTTTCAATTAGTAGCGTCATAAAAAAGAATCCCGCCATGAAATTATATATATATATATATATATATATATATATATATATATATATTATATGGTTTATATATATAGTTTATATATATATACATATTATATATAAATATTATATACTATATATATGTGTGTGTGTGAAATATATATATATGCATGCACACATTTTTACACAGACAGACAAGTGTTTTACTTGAAATATAAATAAGCCGAGAATTTAAAACTGGTTAAAATATTTATGTGTTTGTGTGTTTGTTTGTGTGTGTGTGTTTGTTTGTTTGTGTGTGTGAATTTTGTATATTTGTGTATTTGATTAATAGACAACAACATCAAAGTATTAAAACAGAGTTGTGGCTGTAGCATGTAACACGTGTGTGTGCGTGTGTGTGTGCGTGTGTGTGTGTGTGTGTGTGTGTGTGTATGTAACAACAGGTATTGGAAATTTGTGTATTTTTGGTAGTCTGTTCATGTAGAAAATTTGAGATTACATCCGTATCATTGTTTCAATGACAAATAAAAATTTTTTTGATGTTGTTAATGTTGACGTTGGTGTTGATGTTGTTGATGTTGTTGTTGTTGTTGATGTTATTGTTGATGTTGATGTTGTCGGCAAACCTGTTATGTATTCAGTTTCAACATCTTGATGCTTACCTTCAGTAATTATGAAATTATATTACTTATAATTATGCTTATAATTATAATTGTTATATTATAAATATAATTTTGGTTATTATTATTAATGTTGTTGTTGTTATTGTTTATGTAGTTGTTGAAGTTGTGGTGTCTGTTGGAAGTCATAAATCAAAGTTGAACAAGTAACTCACATTTTCTTGTCTGATGGATGGGATCTATGCTAAACCCTGATGTGTTTGTATGTGTGTGCGTGTGTATGTGTGTGTGTGTATGTGTGTTTGTATGTATGTGTTCGTATACGTGTGTTTGTATGTGTGTGTTTGTGTGTGTATGAAACTAGCGATTTCTATCCTTAAAATTTTTTATCATCATTGCTCGTATTTCATTTAGTTTTTCGCGTAATTAACATTATCTCTTCTGCTCATCCTTATCATCATCTTCTTCTTCTACTTCATCTTCTTTTCACTGTTTCATCATTATCATCATCATCATCCTCATCATCTTCATCATCAGCAGCATCATCATCACCGTCTTGCCAAACTTCTTCATCTTGAAATTGTTGTAATTGGATGCAATCTCGGCAGGAAATGACTAAACTGAAAATGTTGCGGCGACGTAGCCAAAGAGTAATTTTAAGAAATTTGTTTCTTCTCATAGATATATATATATATATATATATATATATATATATAAATTAATATATATATATAATTAAAAAAACTTGGAAAAAATATACAAACAAAAACGTATCGTGCGTACAAGTCATACAAAAAAACATAATTACATACATACATACATAGATACATAACATACATACACACAGCGATAGTAGGGAATATTTTTTTGCTATGAATAATATCTCGTGCATCCTGCAGCGGTTTTTGCGCGTCTGTGTGTTGGAAAATGTGGAGTTGAATGCAGACGGGGTTGAGTGACGTTATAGCAAATAAAATCAAATTTAGTCAGACGCTTGGTCATTCGTTAGTCATTCGTCAATGATTTGGTTTTAACATACACACATACATACACCCATACATACATACATACGAAACGAAACGAAATTTTATTTCCTTTTCAATGTTCAAAAATATTAAGAAAGCAGGAAGACCATAATAGAATTTGTAGAAATTCATTTGGCATGGTCGCCTAATCAGAAATGTTCTTTAGTACGTACGAATCCTATGCACCGACACCACAAACGTTTTATGGTCGAAGAAAGATACAAATACCTGATATTCCAGTACCCTGTTATGCGAAAATACATAATTCATTCATACACTCTCATTATATGTATATTGTATATATCAACTTATAACTACAATCTGTGCGTGTATGCGTGCATATGCGTCTGTGCGTGTATATGTGTGTGTATGTGTGTGTATGCGTGTGTGTGTGTGCAGTTGTGTGGATAAAAACAAATATATAATTTGCCAAAAACCATTGGCATTTTTTTATATGAAATTACTGTTATATAAAAATGACTTGTTGTTGTTGTTTTTATTATTATTATTATTATTAGAGAAACAGGTGAACACACAAACGCACATGGAAGCCTAAGAAGCGGAAGTTGTGTAGGCGTGGCTAAATTACAAAATTTCATCAAGCTTCGTTCCTATTGGCTGGCGGAAAGTGTGATTGACATACTGATTTCCGGGCAGAAAAAGAACTAAAGTTTTAAGAGCTGCTGATGCTTCTAACTATAACGTAGTTATGACGGTGATGATGAGGATGAAGAAGATGATGAAGATGATGAGGAAGATGATGATGATGAAGAAGAAGATGGTGAAGAAGATGATGACGAAGATGTTTAGAAATGTATATTTACGATGATATTTCTACAAATTCTTGCGTTTGGTTCGGCCCGTTATAGCGTTTTCTCAGATTTAATTTCTGTTCGTTTTGCCGTGAATTGTCGAACGTTGTTTTGGGTATTATTGAATTGTGGTATGACTTTAAGAAACTATTTATTAAAATTGATTAATTAATTGAGTAATTAATTAATTAGTTAATAATTGCTTTATGATTTTGTAAAGTAGTTTTAACAACAATCGCCCGAAAGGAGCACTCGTTCTCTATAACTCTATATGAAAATAACCATGGACAACACTTACAACTGCAACAACAACAACAACATTAATATTCATGACATGAACAATAACATCATTAATATTCATGACATCAAAAACAACATCACCGACGACAACATCAAAAAATCTTTCGTCAACGATGACGATGATGACATCAACACTAACAACAACAACAACAATATTAACTACAAATACAACCATAACTTTGATAACAATAAACTTGTTGTACACCCCTTCGAATCAATAATGGTACAGTCCAAAACCCCATACTCTGATGCTACCAAGTGTAGAAAAAAAACCTCAACCAATAGAATTAAGAGGCCCATGAACCCTTTTATGGTTGGTACTTTTTTTGGGGGGTGACAATAATATGAATGAT